AAAGAAGTACTTCTTTATATGGCAACCAACAGGAGGTAGCAGCCCACCAAAATGTGGGAAATGGTAAGACCTTCCCCCCCCCGCAAAAATAAAGGTTTTTAAACAACAACAGAAATAATATTTTGTGTTATGGATTAACATTACAGTATCCTATGTGTCAGCACACATTAATGAACCTCTATGTTGGTATTTATGGAAAAATAGTGAATTGCAGTCTTCCCAAATGTTCATTCCTCACAGCATACTACCCACTACCTTTCTGTCAGCATTTCCACGTCTTGAAATGTCTTCATTCAATTTCCCATCTTTAGTAAAGCTGTTGAAATTCATTTACTTGTTCTGTTTTTTCACAGAACATGCAATCATTCACTCCATTTTCTGCCTCAAATGCAGCTACCTCAATCTTCGATGCATTGGTTTTGAGACTCATAGTCTTCGTTGCTTCATATGATCTAGCTTAACATTTGTTGGAAGTCACTCAGATTCTCAGCCAACAGCGTGAAATCATCCACATACATGAAAGTATGTGAACAATATTCCTAGCCAATACACCTCTAATGTCACCATAGATGCTCCTTATAGCTCTATCCATATATACATTAAACAACCAAGAGGACTTCATACAGCTTTGACTTAATCCCTGCTCATGTTGGTCATAGTTTCTTTCCATTATATACCATACTAATCACGTTCAGCAACCAGACCAGTTCTCCATATTCACCCAAAACATTCCATAATGCGAGCCTACTCTCTTTATCATAGCCTTTCTCACAATCATACGTTTCTCATGGGCCTAAAGAGCAGAAATCTGATGCGAACATCTCTTTCCTGGCACAAAGCCTCAACGCTTTCCCCAAATTTTACTCATGGCCAGTTCTTGTATCTGTTCAATCTGGGTTCTGCCACACAGCTCCCCAGGCACGCTTAGCAAACAAATACAGCTCCATTTATAGTTAGTGGGCATGGTAGGGTGAGGGGGCTGCTGCGTTCATTTTTAATTAGATGAAAAAGTAGAGGAAAATCTGAAACGGTTAACTAAGGAAACTGATTGTAAATACGTTATCCCTGAAAGTCCACAAAACCTTGAGTGACATGATTTTTTTCTATTGGTTTGCAGATCGCGGAGAACTCTTTATATGGGGCAAAAATGTGCGAGGGTGTTTGGGAATTGGCAGAATGGAAGACCAGTACTTTCCCTGGAGGGTAAGAAACATTATTATTTAAATGTACAGTGGGGCAAAAAAGTATTTAGTCAGCCACCAATTGTGCAAGTTCTCCCACTTAAAAAGATGAGAGAGGCCTGTAATTGTTATCATAGGTATACCTCAACTTGCTTGTTTGTAGGTGACCAAATACTTATTTTCCACCATGATTTGCAAATAAATTCTTTAAAAATCAGACAATGTGATTTTCTGGATTTTTCCCCCCATTTTGTCTCTCATAGTTGAGGTATACCTATGATGACAATTACAGGCCTCTCTCATCTTTTTAAGTGGGAGAACTTGCACAATTGGTGGCTGACTAAATACTTTTTTGCCCCACTGTATATGCCGCCCAACTCCCAGCAAGTCTGGGCGGTTTGCAAATGCTTTAAACAGACAGTAAAAAACAAGAAGGTGCTTGTTTGTAGGTGACCAAATACTTATTTTCCACCATGATTTGCAAATAAATTCTTTAAAAATCAGACAATGTGATTTTCTGGATTTTTCCCCCCATTTTGTCTCTCATAGTTGAGGTATACCTATGATGACAATTACAGGCCTCTCTCATCTTTTTAAGTGGGAGAACTTGCACAATTGGTGGCTGACTAAATACTTTTTTGCCCCACTGTATATGCCGCCCAACTCCCAGCAAGTCTGGGCGGTTTGCAAATGCTTTAAACAGACAGTAAAAAACAAGAAGGTGCTTGTTTGTAGGTGACCAAATACTTATTTTCCACCATGATTTGCAAATAAATTCTTTAAAAATCAGACAATGTGATTTTCTGGATTTTTCCCCCCATTTTGTCTCTCATAGTTGAGGTATACCTATGATGACAATTACAGGCCTCTCTCATCTTTTTAAGTGGGAGAACTTGCACAATTGGTGGCTGACTAAATACTTTTTTGCCCCACTGTATATGCCGCCCAACTCCCAGCAAGTCTGGGCGGTTTGCAAATGCTTTAAACAGACAGTAAAAAACAAGAAGGTGCTTGTTTGTAGGTGACCAAATACTTATTTTCCACCATGATTTGCAAATAAATTCTTTAAAAATCAGACAATGTGATTTTCTGGATTTTTCCCCCCATTTTGTCTCTCATAGTTGAGGTATACCTATGATGACAATTACAGGCCTCTCTCATCTTTTTAAGTGGGAGAACTTGCACAATTGGTGGCTGACTAAATACTTTTTTGCCCCACTGTATATGCCGCCCAACTCCCAGCAAGTCTGGGCGGTTTGCAAATGCTTTAAACAGACAGTAAAAAACAAGAAGGTGCTTGTTTGTAGGTGACCAAATACTTATTTTCCACCATGATTTGCAAATAAATTCTTTAAAAATCAGACAATGTGATTTTCTGGATTTTTCCCCCCATTTTGTCTCTCATAGTTGAGGTATACCTATGATGACAATTACAGGCCTCTCTCATCTTTTTAAGTGGGAGAACTTGCACAATTGGTGGCTGACTAAATACTTTTTTGCCCCACTGTATATGCCGCCCAACTCCCAGCAAGTCTGGGCGGTTTGCAAATGCTTTAAACAGACAGTAAAAAACAAGAAGGAACAAAAGAAGGCTAGAGATTGTAGAATAACAGCCTGGGTAAAAACAAAAGAAAACAATCTAGGTTAAAAGGAGGCTTCAGTCATCTTCACCAAGGCTTGGGTGAAGAACTTCAGGCCCCTTTGCAACCCCAGCAGGGTGGGGGCCATTCAGATCCTGGGGGGAGCCTCATTCTAGAGCAGTGTTTCTCAACCTTGGTGACTTTAAGATGTGTGGACTTCAACTCCCAAAAGTCACCAAGGTTGAGAAACACTGTTCTAGAGTATTTTGAAGAGTATTTGTTTAGAGTATTTTGAAGAGTATTTGTTTAGAGTATTTTGAAGAGTATTTGTTTAGAGTATTTTGAAGAGTATTTGTTTAGAGTATTTTGAAGAGTATTTGTTTAGAGTATTTTGAAGAGTATTTGTTTAGAGTATTTTGAAGAGTATTTGTTTAGAGTATTTTGAAGAGTATTTGTTCTCCCAGAATTCCCCAGCCAGCATGGCTGGCTGGGGAATTCTGGGAGTTGAAGTCCACACATCTTAAAGTCACCAAGGTTGAGAAACACTGTTCTAGAGTATTTTGAAGAGTATTTGTTTTTAAAAAAGATCCCACTGCAACTGTAGGAGGATTGGCAGCAGTGGCCTAAATAAAGGTGCCCCATCAGCAGATAATGTCTGTATTCCAGTATCCTGGGCTCCAGGAGATGAATTTGGATGTTCTTGCTTTCGATTCATTGTAGCTTGCCATGTGACCAGCATATACTATTTTTTGCCACAAGGTTTTTCCTGTTTGATTCTGGTCCTTATTAGAAGCTTTGTTTGTTTCAAACAACCACTTAGTAAAGCACAGTAGAAGCTGGCCTCTTTGAAACCTGGTTTCATCAAGGTTAACCCTGGTGGGTGGGCTCAGCATTTATCAAAGGGGAATGTTCCCAAGGCTACCTCCCAGTCATATTGGTGAAGGAGTGAGTGTGGGGCAGCGGACGGAAGCCCAAAGATGCCAGGTTGGTCATAAATTCACAGAATTAGGAGTAAGGGAAACCTGGGCCACTAGGACAGCTGATCTGGCCCATGGGGGCCCTGTGTTCTCCCTGCCAGTGTAAACTGTCCTTGGCTGTGTTCTTATCTGGTTCATCTGCTCTGCATCTTTTCCCATTTGGGAAAAGCAAGAGGGATTAAAATACATTTATCTCTGTGTCAAAAAAGGATATTCTGCACACTTGTCTATGGAGAAAAGCATTTCCTTTTCTGTGTAGTAGGTGAGGATAAGGTGTGATCTCCTGACCTATCTAATGAACAGAGGGGGAAAAAAAGCCAAATCTGTTTGATTGCTTGTTTTCTGGAAAGTAACATCAGAGTGGGGCTTCTATTCCTTAAAAGGAACACCCTCACATCCAAGCTGCTAGACCTGCTTGAGGTTTGAATCTGGCCTTCTGAGTTGTATTCAGGTCCCAAACCCTAGTTTAAACCATTGTCAAGCGTGATGTCTGATCATAACCATTACAGAGGGCTTAATCCTCTGTGGAATGAATTTGGAGATGCTTGTATGATGGCTGTCACATTTGATGTCCGTAAAGGGTTGGGATTAAGGTTGCACAGGGTGCTGCAAATGGCACCATTTTAGCACAAAAAGAAGGGTTTTGAGCCTCTTTCCAATGCTCTCCACTCATCTTCATTGATCTTGCCCAACAATTCCTTTGATGTGACTGGAAGCGTTCCTTCACTCAGCAGATAGCTTAACCTAGAGCAGTGTTTC